GGCCCCCCCCCCCCCCCGGCCGCAGCTCCTTCCTCCCGCAGATCCAGGAGTATGGGCCCCTAATTCCCACTTCCCTCAGACCCAGGATGTCCAGGCTGTCAGCCCAATCAAAATCCCAAGCATCATTTTTTCCCTTTTCAAACCCCAAAAGAACAGACACACAATGGGATTTCTACTCATTTTTATTCATTCTTCCAAAAAGCACCATAGGCCGACCATACCCTTGATTTGTCCTTCACAGTTTCCCACCGCAATGAACACGAGTCCCTCCATCACTATCCAGAAATGTACAAAACCCAGCTATGGTAATGGGGTTTTCTCATCCACTCACCCAAGTTTTTTTTGTGCCTGTTCTGCTTCTGGTGATGGCAATGCCAAGATTCATCATTCATTTCCTTTAATTCCTACCTTCAAGGGTCTTCCAGCCCCAAGGTACCACGTAGATGCACCCTGATGGCAAAGAATAATCTGTTTACAAGGGAGTCTCAGTCTTTTTTGCTTGGATGCTCCCAGAAACAGATGCCTCACTAGCAACCATATGCCTTCCACATAGCCTAAAATTCAATCCCACTGAAAGTCATGATTTAAAAGGCACCCACCCCAAAAAGTAGTTGTGATACTCAAAGGTACCAATATACAACTATATAAACACAACCAGCACTCCTCAATGGATACAGACACACAGAAACAAAATTGTCTTTCTTTCTCCAATATGATCGCTAACATGATTCCTGCTGGCATGAGGGCAGAGGGAATCTAGAGCAGTGCAGTATAGAGCAGAGGTGTCACACATGACTAAATCAGAGAGTGTCAAAGTGGCAGAAAAAGAGGAGGGCACTCTGTGAGCAGAGGTATGGGGGTGAGACAGAAGGCATCCAGACTAGGGTCATCTTGGTACTGCCCAGGGGTGAGGGTGTGTGGTCAAGGGTAATGGGACCAACATTTGAGCTCCCAGTGTGCCAGGCTTCTCAGGAGAGGCTGCAGTATGATGTGTGTGTGCATGCATGTACATTGAATTCTCACAATAGCTCTGTCAGGTAGATGCCATTTTCTGAGTGACTTGCCCAAGGTCACTCCCAAAGTCAGTAGAAGGACTGTCTGACCATAGAGCTGTCCTAATGGAATTTCCTGTAGTAATGGAAATGTTCTATATCTACACAGTCTGATACTAATTAGCCACTAACCACATGTGGCTACTGAGCACTTGAAAAGTGGCTAGTGCAACTGAGAAACTGAATTTTAAATCTGATTTTTTTTTTTTTTTTTTTTTTTTTTGGTGGCTGGCCAGTTGATTTACATTTGATTAATTTAAAAATTAATTAAAATTTTAATAACTGATCTCGGTTATTGGAAAACTATTAAATATTATTATTTAGGACAACTTGGGTATGTAAATCTACTTTTCCAACTACGAATTGTATGAAATCTAAATACAGGTCAAGCATTTTCAATAAAAATCTATCATCTGAATTGAGATGTTCTGTAAGTGTAAGATACACACCAGATTTTGAAGACTTAGCATAAAAGCATGTAAAACAACTCATTAATATTTTCTTATATTGATTACATGTTGAAATGATAATATTTTGGATAGTTTGGGTTAAGTAAAACATATTAAAATGAGTGTCACCTGTTTCTTTTATTTTTTTAATGTGGCTACTAGAAAATTTAAAAGTACATATGTGGCTTGCATTTTATTTCTATTGGACAGTGCTGCTCTGGTATGCTTGAGGGGCTTGAACACTAGACTGAGGAAAGGGGCAGACAAAGTGGTGTACTAGATATTACAGATATGAATGAATACCACTCCCCTAAGGTTGAGCTTTGAGGGCAATGCCTGGAGCCATTCAGTATACAGCCAAATGCTTTTCCCCATCTTGACCATCCCAACTTTGAAGGGACAAACTCTGCCAGTGGTAGAAGTCCAAGCTAGAGAGGGAGGACTGTCCCCCAGGTATCTGCTCCTCATATCAGTTACCCATGTCTTCAGCTGTCAAGCAAAATAGGATCGCAGAAGTATTTATGGTTCTCATCCAGCCCTTTCATTTCACAGATGGGAAAATAAGGCACTGGTCCAAGTCACACAGAGTGAGGGTGGCAAAGCTGTGCTTGCTCTCTAGTCTCTTGACCTCAGACAGGGCATTCTCTCCCATTAAACGTTTGTTTCTCCCCATCTCACTCCTTTTTCCTGTCTTGTGGCAAAAGGCCAACAATCTAAATTCCAGCCCTAGTTCTGCCACTGATCAATGAATTAAAATAATATTTACTAAGCACCTATCATGTGTCAGGCACTGTTCTAGGTGCTGGGGGTACAGCGGAGAACAAGACAGTCAAGGAGTCAATAGCCAATAAAGAGGTAAATAAATAATTTTTATAGTAATAATTGCTACAAGGAAGGGATATGTGAGCTACTTCAGTTGGGATGGTCAGGCAAGGCCTCTTTGAGGGGATATCTGAACTGATATCTGATTGACAAGGGAAGGAGCCAGTCGTGGGAAGTTGTAGGAGCAGAGTATTCCAGGAGAGAGAAGTGTAAACGTCCTGAAGCAGGACCCAGCGTGGCCCACTCAAGCATCAGAAGGAAGACCTATCAGGCAGGTAGGGGATGGAATGGGTCAGGGCCTTGCCATGTGCTGCTGGGCCTCGAGCCTGCCCTCTCTGGCCTTCGCTCTCCTCTATCACAAAAGAGATTCTATTGGATGGCCTTTCAGGTCCTCCTTTTCTGTTTGTGACATTGAAGAATTCTGTAACCTGCACATCTCCCCTACATGTAGTTGGCAGCCTAGAACATTCCAGGCACTGTGGTTTCTGCCTTTGCCTCACTCCTGGCACATTCCCAGTCTGGAATGCCTGCCCAGCCATTTTGTGGGCCCTTTACCCACTGCAGGACCCTCTGCAGGACCAGAAGGCAGAGCCTCTTGGGGATACCTGAGGTAGCCACACAAACATTTGGATTAGTGCAGCAGTACAGCTGCTCTTCCAAAATGTCATGTGTATGAAACACCGAGTCTAGAAAGGGTCAAGGTTTAATGACAGAAGAAACAAAGATCAAAAAAAGAAACCCTTTAGGAAAGAGAGACAGAGGAACAGATTCCCCAGAATCACTCAGCACCTATAAAATGGAGGCAGTCCTATCCCTTCCCAGTCAAACTCGCAGAGAGAGGCAATTGCCAGGATCCAAATACAAGGGATTTGTGGGAGATATATCTCTGATGTGTGGTTTCCGGCCCTTCCACACCCAGAAGGCTTCATTCCTGGTCTCTGACTACACCCAGAGCCCACCATGCCCAGACCATACTTACCCCCTCCCCACAACCAGACTCCTGAAGAGCAAATAGTAGATACTTCTCCCTTTCCCAAGAGAGATCAAGGGGTCTCCAGCTTTCTCCCACAGGCCCCTTGATCCCTCCTCCAAATGTAGACCTCCCACCATCCAAGAATTGGGAACCAAGGTCCATAGCCCTCCTGGGATCCAGAAGTCTGAGACCCTAGAGACCCTCTAATAAAGAGTCAAAGCCCACTGCTCCTTGGGGACCTAGGAGGCTATGGGCAGGGCTCCTTCCTCCCAAGGAAACCTAGACCCAGTTTCCCTTTGAGATCCGGAAGTCAAAGAATTACAGCTCCCTGGGGGCACTCAGATCCCTCTCCCTCATACTGGAGTCCAAGTCCCCAATCATGGACCCCCCTCTCCCAATTAGGAAACAGGGCTTCTATCCCTTACCCCCTGCAGGTTTAGATGTCCAATAACTCCAGTTTCCATTCCCTATGAGACCAAGACATAACTCCTTCAAGAAGAGTCCAGGCCCTCAACTCCCTTCAGGACACAAGAGTCTAGATGCCATGCCACCTGGTCAAAATCCTGTTTGCCAGGTTCTATTCCCTTTGAGGACCCAGGAATTTTGGTGACTAGAAGTTACACAGTCCATCCAGAAGTCAGAGTCCGCGTCCCAGAGCCAAGCACCCAGGATTCGGAGTAGCAGCTCCTCCATTCTGTTATCTCAGAAGCCCAGACATCCCATGCCAGAGTCTGGACTCCTAAGCCCCTTCCACTCTAACTGGGACTTGGGTCCTCAGCCCCTGGCGGAGCCAGCAGCAGGGATGCTGGGTACCCCAACAGCCCCAGCCCCCATCCCACCCCTCACTGGGCGGGCTCAAGGGGAGCCAGCACCGCCTCGGCGTCAGCCTGCATCTCGTCGAGAGCATGCAGCAGGACGCCGTGTGCCGCGCGGTAGCCCAGGCCACCTGCCGCCGCTGCGCCACCCGCAGGCCACAGGAAGGAGAGTGCGCCCAGCGCCGCACCCCCGGCAGTGCCCTCGCCAGCCCAGGCGCTCAGCCTTGCTTCCACCTCGGCGCGCGTCACCGGGCCCGGGAAGCGCACGCGCGCTGCTAGCTCCCCAGGAGCGAGGCCCAGAGCGC